GGCATAACACTTGCAGTGGGACGACCTGACGAGGCGACAGATTTTGCACCAGCACCAACCAGGGTCCATATTGGCTGATAGTAGTGCATCTGAAAAAGATGAAAAAGAATCTGTCAGACATTAACTTTGCACAACAGTTTGTGATTCACCAAACCATAAAAACCTGAACATGAATTCTCAGTTGAATGAATAAGCGCCATAACTTTTTATAATTTCTAGTGTACATTGTGTTATGGTGACAGATGAAAAGCAGTATGGAAAATATATATTTCTTGCCTCACTGGGCTCCACAACAGCCACATTCTCAGCTCCCATCATCCTCTTCATCCGTGCACTCATTGTGATGCCCCCACTCCCTCCTCCAAGCACAAGCATTTTGTAATGCTGTTTGGCAGAGGCACGGCTGCTGGTGTGAAGATGAGAGATAACGATACCTGTGGAGGGGCATTTCCTCAGTCGACGCAGGGCAGCCATTCTGTGTCTGAACCAGAAGGACAAGTCATTTTTGGTTAGCAGCAAATCAATCATAATCAGTTCTACTGTCTGGGGCTCAAACATACTATCAACAACTGTCAACAATCTGCACTTTCTAATTTTGCTGCTCAACATTTACATTGTGTTCATCAGAGTCTGAGAACAACTTCTTCAGCCTTTTACAGTAATGGATACAGCAAATAGCCCAAGTGGGGCTTCAGATTCAAATCCCTTCTCTGACTTCTTTCTCACCAGCTCAAATATTTATTTTGTTAACATGCACCAATGGAAAACATGAATTTGATTGTGGCTTTACCAACCACAGCTATTGTAACCAGGAACCACACCTGACCTAACAGAGCACACACACATGTGTAACCATGTATCAGCTCTTTAAGCTAACATTTCATAACATGTTGTTGTGTAAAAGTTAGCATACTGCAGGGACAAGATAAAGCAGAGTTATGCATATACTGTCCCGTATATGACCTAGTTTAAGAGAACCCTTACAGCTTCAGCAAAAACAACTAACATATATTGACAAAGGCTGCTTTGTCCTGAAAAAATCTGTGAAACCCGGTTTGAGCTGAACCACTGCTGCTGCATGCTGCGTAATGACCTGTCTCCATTACAACCATTCCTGTACAGACATATTCACCTGATAACACCAAGTTAGGGTACAGTGGCGTCTCAAAAGGCACACTTACCTTGACCAGCACCACTGTTAAGCGTCCGTTTTGCCGTTGATTAATCCAATATGCTTGGAGGGAGGAGAGAAACTCTGGCCGACCTCTTTTCTCCTCTGTTCTAAAGCAGGACTGGCACTTTACACTCACTTGTCAAGCTTTTTACCCAACGTGAACTTGTGGTTGCTCCCCTCGGAGGACGGACGGAGCTGCTGTCCAATCAGAATCAACGTGTGAACGGTTCGTCCCGCCCCTCAGCCACTGGACCAATCAGAGACGACCTTGTTTAACTGCCCGTCTAATGTTGTAGCTTTAGCATAACTTCAAATAGACAAACTAAATTTTGTGGAGCTACAAAGTTATTGTCGGCTGTCTCTGGAAGGTCGTGGAAGATGTACGTTGTGTTTTTGTTATGTTTTTTTTGGTCTTTCTATTAACTGTTGTGCTGCTCATAAATAATTGTGAAGGTACGTTGAAGTGGGCGTGGTTTATCCGTGTGTTTACAGGAGAAACCTGAACTTGTAGCTCTGAGCCTGTCGTGGATCAGCAGTAGACTGTGGTGGAAGACTTTTAAACTTTAAAGCATTCATCTACGAGTTTACCCAACTAACTATTGCTGTAATAGATATTTATTGCTTTACTTTACAAAGTAAGTGTATTACTTACTTTCTGTATAGATGTCAACAGATTTATATCATAGATCACTTGCTTAACAGACTGATCCTCACATATACATTCAACAGGAATATAAACACAGCATGCAAATAGTCTTCTTTTCTAACTTAAAGAAAACTGGAAATATCATTTCTATTATATTTGCATAGAAAAGTGTCAAATGTAACCAGTTGTGCACAACATGCCCTTTGAGCTGGACCACTGAGTTAATCAGGTGTGGCTTTAAAGGACAATGATCAGACAGTATGACCAGTACAGAGAAACTACTCTGATCAGAGACTATAAAAGGCCACCCTAAAATGCAGCTTTTTTAATGACATGATGCCGCAGATCAAAAGTGAAAGAACGAGTTGTTTGCATGCAGGATGCTGGCATGTCAGTCAGGGCCATAGTCAGGCACTGGAATGTCCACAACTCCACCATTTGTTTTTTTAGAGAAAGAAATCTTTTCACACAGTATGGTACATGAACAGACAAGATAATAGATAAGATAATTCTTTATTGATTCCTAAAGGGGGCATTCGGGCATTGCAACAGCACAAGACAGTTGCACACAAAAGAACACAACAGATAAAAAAAAAAAAGTATGTATTTTTATATGAAGAAAGAAAAGAAAAAACTATGTACAATCTGCCACATCTGGCTGGATTTGTCTGACAAAATGTTCCTGTCCCCCAAAATGTCTGCCAACCTCACTAAGCCCTTCAGAAAGAGTGGGGCAACATGCCACAAGCAGCATCAACAGCATCATTACCTCTTTGCGTCGCAGATGTGTGTTACTACAAATGGCCCACGTACTGACTTATGCTTTCTGGATTTGACTCCCTTGCCCATTATCGTTCCCAAAGTAGTGAGTTTTTGGTTGTTTCATGAAGTCTGTTCTGCTGTTGAGATGCCAGTATGTTCCTGTCCCCCAAAATATCTGCCAGCCTCACTAAGTCCTTCAGGAAGAGTGGGACAACATGCCACAAGCAGCATCAACAGCATCATTACCTCATTTGGTGCACATTTGTTAGCCATTCATACTGAAGAATTAACCAAAGCTGCAACAAAATGTTTTTATCATGATGACTTTGCTTGACAGTATTCATCAAACTGGTTTTGCAGGTTCAGATAGTATCATCTGCATATGCTCTATCATGTTCTGATCATTTTTATATCAATAGGTCTACTTTATACATTCTAGGCTTTACCCTCTCAAAATGAAGTCCTGCTGGAGATTGAGCAACTGGGCCATAAAGACTAAACAGTCTTGTCCTTTGGAGTAGTTTGTTCCTGGTATAATTAAAGCATCAGATCATTTTATGTTCCCTACAGGCTGAGCCTCGCCCTCTGCACACCTGATTATGTATTACACAGTAAACAAACATTTGTGTTTTTGAGCTTTGATTATGAGATTATGAAGAAATATATACAGTAGATGCATAATATTCATTTACATAATAAGAGTGCTGCTCTACTCTTCATCCTCCTGGGCTTGTCCTGATGAAAAGTCTGGTGTTAAAAGTAGTTTAACATTGAGAATGAGATGTTGACAATTTATTCAGGAATTTACCTTTTAGTCAAACTTGTGCTTTCTGACACTCATTTTGTTATTTTGAAAGGTTGATGCTGTGGTAAAAAAAACAGTTCAATAGCAGCTGCCATGGAAAGAAAACTGAATCTTATATTTGTGTCCATTATAACAAATGAAGACACAAATCAGGATGTACATCTATGTTGCCCACATCGTTATCCAGTTTATCAGCCAGGTATACGTTACCAGAGATGACTGGGTAGCTGTAAAACTGTTAGGCAAGGAGCCCAGTGTCAGTTTACAGCTTTTGGATGACTACCTGGTGTAAATATGAGTGGAGTCTGGTTCCTTGTGTCTTTTTATTGAGACATTTCTGGTACTGGTAATGATGTGGCTGCAGGACCGTTGACCTGCCCAACCCTGTCTCCTAAATTACAATGATAAGATTTGTGTAGAAACATAACGACTGATTCTTAGCTAATGATCTCAACCAGTTGTCCAGTCACTTTCATTTTTTATCAAAAACAGCATGAACTAAAAAACTCAGGAAAACAGTAACTCAGTGGTAACTGAACAATGTTAATGACTGAATTGTATACAGTTGGGCTTGTTAAGACTCTTTCTTATGAGAAACCTAAATGACCTACCCTTAAAAATGCAACAAGAAAAGTTTGCAAACATTTGCAACCACTGATAAAAGAAAAATCACATGGAGTGACACAAAACATGGCCTCGCTGTACTGAGACTGTGCCTAAAGTTTAGAATGATAAATAATGCTTATTTTTTATTTTCTGCATCTGTGAACTGTCCTAACCTTTGTCTGTCTTAAATGCTTAAATATAGAATACATAATTTCCCCAAAGACATTTTGACTTGTCACAGTAGAGAACACACAGATTGATTAATGATGGCTCAGTTCCATTCAGTGTGTCAGTAAGCTGTGGCAGAGAACCAGCACACACAAAAACACGACCTTCTCTAAGTGGAATGCAGCCACCGCTGATGTACATGTGCTTTCTCTACTGTCACAAGTCAAACTGTCTGCTGAGAAAATCGACTATAAATAGCTGTCGCCAGGGATCAACTTACAAACTTTATTTCTACAACAGCACGCTCGCACATTTTTAAACACAAACAAGGACAAATCACAGTATTGTGCTGTGAAAACATGTTTTTTTCTAATATACTAAATCATAAAATGTCTGTTTCTGAATGCGTCATATCTTGTACATGTAATCTTTGTGGTGCCAGAAAAACTTTACAACAGTTTAAAAATCTCTCATTGGCATTGACTATGATTTACCTCCATAAAACACATCTGGGAGGCTCATCAATATTTGTTTACACATTATTATGTCATTTTAAGACCACTGATTACAAGCTATTATCAAATACTGGTAAGATAACAGACAGTTTATCAGCAGGCATTTATTACCCCTAAACAAAGAAGTAGTGGGAAACCTAATGCAGTAAATGCAACAATAAAAACAGTTGAACTGCTTATTTTTGTCTTTTTGGAGGCCTGTTCTGTTAAATTATATTTAATTATCGAGGATGTTTATTCCCCATTTATATCCATGACGACATAAATAATAGTTTTAGCTGGGTATACCGTATGCTCACTTGAAATCCATAAACTTAATTGTAAGTACATAAAAAGTCTTTATAGCAATTAAGATTTAATTAATTTGTCACTACTGATGGTTATTTATTAACTGTAAGTTGATGGGTCCCATACATGAACTTATTTCAATTTATATGTGAAAATTTCTTTCTGTGAATTTAGTGTATATGCCTTTGAGACTGTGTTCATGTTTTTCCTCATTTTACACAATGCAAATGTATATGTAGCTTTATCAGATACTTAAAAAACAACAACAACAACAAACAAACAAAGAAAAAAACAGCCCTCCTCCAGAAAAGTCAATCATTACTATGGCAATTCTTGATTGTGATCAACCAAAAGCCAACCACTGCTAGATTAGATGTGGGTCTTTTAAATAGTGCAACAGGTACCATGGTGTAAATAGTCATGCCTTGGTCTTTTTTATTTTATTTTTTTTAAACTTGGGTTTTTTGGTTTAAGTGTGAACTTCAGCTTCTTTGTTCCTGATGGCAGCTGCAACACAAATAAATCAAAAGCACCATCAATGCTGACAGAAATACTGACAACAAAGCATTAGATCAGCTGAAATGCAGGAGTTCTCTCTACGCAGTGCATCTGAGTTTTTGCAAATACGCCAGACGGGGGAGCTATAATGATAAAGATGATGAGGCATGGTGTGAAAACTGCTAATGAAAAATGCATTATTAAGAAGGTGATACACTGACAAACTCCTTCTGCTTTTGAAGACATTACAATAAAGTGGACGATAACATAACACAACAGTCTTCATCCTTAATCAGTATTAGCATATTTTCAAAAGTGAAGACATCAGTGAAATATTAAGTCAATCAAAAAGCACTTGTGAAGAAAAGAGAGTTGGAATTGTGTGCTGGATTATGAGTATCTGTATACTGAAAGTCTTTGGAGGGGAGTTACAGCAAGATTTGAAACCAATAAACTGCTTTCACAGTTCCTTTGTCAGTTTTTGTTTCAAGTGCAATTCAGAGAAGCATAATTAGAGCCTCCTCAACATTTTCCACAGCTCATAAATTGAATCAACACATTGATGCTTAGCAGANATAGCCAAACTAAACTCTGTGAAGCTACAGAACTAATGACAGCTGTCTCTGGAAGGACGTCGAAGATGTACGTTGTGTTTTTTTCATTGTGTTTTTGTGTGTTTCTGTCACCTGTTGTGGTCCTCATAAATAATTGTGAAGGTATATTAAAGTGGGCGTGTTTATCTGTGTGTTTACAGGAGAAACCTGAACTTGTAGCTCTGAGCCTGTCTTGGACCAGCAGTAGACTGTGGTGGAAGGACTTTGAAACTTTAGATATTTATTACTTTTATTATAGTTGCCCCTCATGAGTGTGTGTGTGTGTGTCTGTGGACAGTCTCTAGCTCGAGTGCTAAAGTCTAACAAGTTGATATTTTACAGGTGAGCTAGGAATGGCCTCTCCCGATGATTCGACTTTCGGGTCAGTCAGTGTGACTGTAGCTCCACTAGAGGTCAAAGGTCATTTATTTCAAAAATGCCATTTACCATCAAAAGGGTGGAAGGTAGATTTATGGTATTTGGTGCAGATGAGCAACCATGTTGGGGCTTTCCATTGGTGATGTTACATTTAACCTTGGATGATATTTCAAAGTCAAACTCAAGGTCATAAATTTTGACTGCACTGTAGGACAGACACATTGTTTGCATTAAAAACTGTGTACAGGATGCAAAACATGACCTTGGGTGATATTTCAAGGTCAAACCCAAGCTAAAACATTTTTGATATTGCCGTTGTATTTTAAATGACATGTAATGTACAGATAGTACCCATTTCACCTTGGACAACCAGCCAACCACGAATAGTAAAAGAATCTATCCAATCAACCAAACACCGAGCACTGCTAGAGTAGATGTGTGTCACTGAAATAGTGCAACAGGTAACATCCTGTAAATACTGATCCTCATGTCTGCTTATCCACCTTGGAGTTATTAGTTTAAGCATGGACTTCACCTTCTTTGCTCCTGATGGCAGCTGCAATATGAATAGATCACAAGCACCAACCAATGCTGACAGAAATACTGACAACAAAGAATTAGATCAACAGAAACGCAGTTTTATCTCTGCAGTACATTTGGGTTTTTGCAAATACGCCAGGTGGGGGAGCTATAATGATAAATATGATGAAGCATGGTGTAAAATAGGGAAGCTGCAAGTAAAATAAACAAAAGATGATATATTAACAAACTGTTTCTCCTCAAGAAGAAGCATTACAATAAAGTGGATGATAACATAACATAACATCACAGTCTGCATCCTTAATCAGTATTGGCATATTTTCAAAAGTGAAGAGATCAGTGAAATATTAAATCAATCAAAAAACACTAATGAAGAAAAGAGAGTTGGAATTGTGTGCTGGATTATGAATATCTGTATATTGAAAGTCTTTGTCGAGGAGTTACAGCAAGATTTTAAACCAACAGACTGTTTTCAGAGTCATTTTTGTCGCTTTTGTTTCAAGTGCAATTCAGAGAAGCATAATTAGAGCCTCCTCAACATTTTCCACAGCTCATAAATTGAATCAACACATTGATGCTTAGCAGAGCAACATCAAGAGTCTGATTGTGTTTGATGTGATGGAGCGAGAGAGACACAGAGTCTTCATGTAGAGCTCTGCAGGTCAATATTAAACATGCAAAATACTTCAGTTTTAGTTCCATCTAAAACTGAGCTGCCAAGACCACACTGAGGTTTTAGGCCACCCAGAAGCTGAACCCCACAAAACATCCCTTCTGTCAGCTGTTCCTGAGACTTACTGATCAGAAAACACTTAATACTGATCAATCTCAGACCAGCACTGCTCTCCAACCACTGATGAGAATCAGCCAAATTATTACACTAACAAGAGATGCTGGAGGAGCACTGAGGAATCAAAGCAACACTCAAAACAAGTTTCATTGATGTCTGAGCCTGAACAATGGACATAAATTGGCAGAATGTCTCTTTATTGTCAGTAATGCAAAGCGAGACAGATCTTGACTAAATAGAGATGGAAACAAAGAGTCTGTGGTCACTGCATGACAGGTGAGGTGGAGACAGAGATGCACTTCCTCTTAAAATGAGACTAATATAAGGTTATGAAAGAGGAACCCTTTAAATAAATGAGACTCAATGAGATCTTGTACATTCCTGCACAATCTGTCCAGCTGAGTCTTCTAAATAACATTGTAAAGATTATAAGTCATAGCTTTGATTTGTTTCATCTACTTCTTATTTGCCCTACAACATTGTTTATTTGACTTGCAACACTTTATAATCCGTCATCCTCCTGCAAATGTTTCTACTTGTCAGTACTGTGTGTACTGTTATGCACCAAAACACTATGTCAAGTTCCACTGCACTTTATTTTAAGATCCCTGCCTCATTATTTGTGACATTGTGACTTTTTTCTAACTTTCTCTTATTTTTCAAAAAAAATTGTCCTTTTAAAAAAATAAAAAAAAGTCTTACTGTTATTTCACAGCCTTGAGAACAGTCCCTTTCATTTCACTGCACATACTGTATGCAACAACTAAAAACTCTTGAATCTTGAATATTGAATCATATATAAAAACCTACTTGGCAATAAAATGGATTTTCTGAGTCTGGCCTTGGTTCTTGAATTGAACTTATTTCCGAACTTCACAGAGATAGATGACAGTGAAACACAACAGATTGTTTTGGGAGACAGAGCGCTTGTCATGATATGAGGGACACGTAAAACATCACCGAATATGACAAATAATTATTTTATTATACACATGGCACACACACAAAACACATTTAGAAAAAAATAAATCTACTTATCATTTTAATCTACTTAATAAAGATAATTTGTTATTCTTTTTCATCCACTAATAAACAATATTTTTGTTCATCTTATTTTTTGTCTACATATATATTTTAATATGCCTAATAAAACCATTTCCTTATTTTTTTATCTACTAATACATTTTTAAAAAATCATTGTATCTACTTATTCATTTTAGTTTGCTTAATAAAACCATTTTCTTGTTCTTTTTTATCTTCTAATAATTTGTATTTTTGTTTTATTTTTATCTTCTTATTCATTTTAGGATGCTTATAAGACCATTTTCCTACTTTTCATCGACTAATAAATTGTATTTTTGTTTTATTTTTATTTACTTTTTCATTCTAGTGTGCCTAATAAAATCATTTTCTTATTCTTTTTATCTCCTAATAAATTATATTTGTATTTTTGTATGTACTTATTCATTTTAGTCTGTTTAATAAAACCATTTTCTTATTCTTTGTATCTACTAATAAACTGTATTTAGAATACATTTTTGTCTACTTGCTCATCTACTCGTGTTTTTTTGTGTACTAATTCATGTTATTACTCTTAATAAAACAAATAAAAAATTTAAAAATCTGCTAATAAATGGTATTTTTATTACATTTTTATTTACTTATTCATTGTAGTATGCTTAATAAAACAATTTATTTTAATCTATTAATGAATTGTATTTTTAATGTATTTGATCTACTTATGCATTTTAGTATTCTAATAACATATATATTTTTTTTACTTTTTGTCAGCTAATAAATTGTATTTTTATTGCATTATTGTGTAAAATACTGCATTTTTGTTGCTGCTTTGTCAGTGTTGTTCATACGACAGTTTGGCCAGTGAGGCTTTGAGAATTGAGTTGAACTGAAAACAGAGATGCTCATCACACACACACACACACACACACACACACACACACACACACACACACACACACACACACACACACACACACACACACGCCTCCAGCCTCAGCTGCGTGTCTCTCGGTGAGTGACGATCATCAGTCGGTGGATTCCTTCTCGGTCTCTCAGCTTCTCCGCAGGTTGCTCTCAGAATAGCGGCGCTGATGATCGTCTCCTGCTGCACCACCTTCACAGCCCACAGTCCGCAGTCCTCCTCTGCTCATTACTCACCGCAGCTCCACACCAGCAGCCTGCTCTCTGCTCCTCATCCGTGTCTGCTGCTTCTGATTCAGCAGCTCTGACTGCGAGCTAAATGTGCGGAGATAAACGGCCGCTGCTGCCTGACAGGATACATGGAGACAACACAAGACTGTGACAAACTTGTGCAAGGTAAGAACAGGGAAGACGAAGGCGCACTTTGGATGCATCTGTAACCATTTTGCACCCAGCTTTGTGCACAATTTATTCCACAACATGTAACACATCCAGGCTACAGTTGTACTCATTAAAGCAGTGATCTGTGTGTGTGTGTGTGTGTGTGTGTGTGTGTGTGTGTGTACACCTTGTTAGGGTGTCACTCTGGGATCTTTGCTAAGGAGACACAGTTCACTGGGGATTTTCCTCTTGCTGCTGCTACTGCTGCTGCTTACACAACAGTTTTAAAGTTGCTTGTATGAACAGAAAAAAAACACTACTTTGCTTTGGTGTGTTGCCTCATGTGCTGCACATAATGACACAATCCTCACTGCTGGGGTTTCCTCTGTTGGTAAAAGGATAAATGTGGGTGTTCCATGTGTGTTTTAGGGAAACCTTTTGGAGGTCCCAGGAGAAGATGGCATTCTGGAGGAGAAATCCTCACATTGGTAAGGCAACACTGAACTCATTCCATAGTCATTTTCTCTTATTTTTTTAGTTGCTGAAATTATAATAACATCCCATTTTTAAAAAAAGAAAAGACAAACAGCACACATTTTGCAGTTAGGATGCACAAAAAACAATGTATCTTAAGATTTGTGGCGGATTAATTGTACAAAACGGTGACATTTACGGTGTCTTTTAAAAGCCAGATCTTGTGTGAGGCAGATATCCTCCTCATCCTCTCCTGGTGCAGTGCACTGGTCTAGAGAGATGAAATGAAACTTTATACAGCAGCCTCTCTCTCTCTCTCTCTCTCTCTCTCTGTGGGTGTGTGTCTGTGTGTTTTTCACATGTTGTGTTGTGTGCATGACTACAGCAGCCTGTAATCAGTATCACACACAGAGCGAGGTGACCTTGTAGGTTGTGCTTCAGATGGAGATTTCAGTTCCTCGATGAAACGCTCTGTGTATTCTAGTCCTTTTAGTAAGAAACATCATAGCCACTGAGGCTGGTCATCTAAATGTTTCCTGTGTCAGTATGGGACTCAGGAGGAATGTGGTTTGAAATATTACCGGAAGCTTTTGTGAATCATCTCACTGTATGATCTCATTGTAAGCTGCTCGGACTTGCACTTGCAGACTGAAGAGTCTGATGATATTCTCAGGAAAAAGGAAGCGCATTTAGCCTGTGAAACAGAGCTCATTAAAAAATTGCATTGAAAGATCTCCTAATTAAATGCTTAAGCAGACCAAAGCCTTTGAACAACAATAGCCTTTCTTAATAATTAATTGTCATAGTAACCGATAGCAGAAGGATGCCAGTTGTTGTGTGAGATCGTGTGTCTCGTCGCGGCTCTGTGCAGGTGTGTTATGCATAATTCAACAATGTTTTAACCTCGTTTGGAAACAACAGATCTGTGTCTCCTGCGTGTGAAAAGTTAAGAGTGCTCTGATAAATGCTTTCACAGTCTTGCAGATGACTGGCTTTGTGTTTGTGAGCGAATATATTTCCTCTTGATCAGACAGCATGACCAGGCGTGATAATGAGCCTTAATGCATCAGCTTGATGAGTGAGCGATGAGATAAATGTCAAAGATGTAAGCGCAGGTGAAGTGTTCAGGTGTTGAGTAAGAAAAGGACAGGCCGAGGCAGAGCCAACCAGCCGCTTTATCAAACCCGTGAAGTCGAATCATCCGCAGGGAGCCATTTGAAGCTTCGCTCCCCAAGCCCACCATATTCAGCTGTCATGGTTTATTAATGTCCATGGATATCACATGGACGACGGCTCATCCATCATAAATATAGAAGAATATATGATGAGTGATGCTGTGTGAAACAAGCAGCAAGCAAGCTGTTACTACTTAAGAGCCTTTCAGCTGGGAGACAAGTTTTAGTCGTGTGTATTTATGACATTGTGCTGTGAATGTAGAGCTTCTGGAAACAGGATTACACTTTGTTTTTTCAACACATTAAGCAAACAACTTACACTATGTTAGACCATGAGTTTTAGAGGTGCTGGTGGGTGGTTTTCCTCAGTGAGAGCCACACTCTGTTTTCTACTGTTTTTATGTGAAGCTAAACCCTCCAGCTTTCTCTACAGACATTAAGGTGATGTCAGTGTTTTTGGTCTTTTTTCACTAAAACATTTCTTTGAACGGTAAATTTAAAAAGGGCACTCTGCTGTTTCACCTTCACCCATGACGTTCAGTTTGCTGTAGAGTGTGAGTCAGCCTCTGAAAACATATTGCAGATGAGAAATCTAGTGGTTTTGGAGCTTGACCCACACTATCTGCTTCAACAGGGCTCCAGTTTGGACTCTTATGAGTACCTTACCTTTATGAGAGTGGGAAACATGATTAACACTTCCAGCAACATAATGAGAGAATAACAGGTCCTGAAGTAATGAGCATGTCAGATGTTGAAATTTAAGAGACTGGAGGGCGAAAATGCAGGTTAAGTCAAGAATATGCTTGTCTTGAGGGTTAGTTTCACTTTGCTGCAGCATGTGTGAAGAGTGTGGATTTAAATGCACATCTGGCAAAGGTGAACTTAACTATGGTTTCTCAGAGGAAGGTTTGACAATGGGACTCCAGCCTGAACCAAAAGGGCAAAACCAGCAGGCAAGAAGTCCAAAAAGAGACGCCATGTGTCACAACAAGGAAGGCTGGCTCAAAAAGACAAAAGGTTGGGAAGTGGGAGCAGTTGTGTAAGAGGAGGGGGAACACATTGAGTGATACTGAAGAACAGGGAGGGAAACAATTCTCACATCAGACGGTTTGAATGGTCACAGTAGCAAAAGCAGAGGTGCTACCATGACCAATAGCTCTGCTCTGTTCAAGTGTGACCGTGATCCAGCATCAGCAGGATCCTGTGACAGAAATAACTAAATGAAACCATTTACTTTATTATTTTCATCTGCACCTTTGCTACTGTGACATGTCAAAGTAAATAACCAAAAAAATGCCATTTACAGGTTGTGAAATGACAAGAAAAAAAAAAACAGTGGAGAATTTAATGTATTCACTCTCACCAAAACACACACAGGCTTCCTAGACGACAACAAACACCCCAGTTTCTCAGTGTGATCAGTTTCAGTGTCAGTGTGGCCTTGATTTGATCATAGTAAGCAGTCAGGCCTGTTGGTGTCATTAAAAGATACTGGGAGGGTAAAGGATAAAGGGAGCTCAATGCCTTCTTGCATATGGAAATTAAAAAGCAACCTGGTTTGGGATCCAGACTTTGTTCTTGGACACAGTACAGTCTACGTTAATGGCAAAGCTGCTGCTTCAGAGACGTGACATTCTGCTTCAGTGGGTTAAAGAAAAGCCTCTCTGCTGAACTGCAGTGCAGTACACAGAAGTGTATAAGGACCTCCGACAGGACAGTCTTATTCGGTTCATTTCATGCAACATGGCCCCCAGTTTTAGTGCAGCTACCAGTTTAAATTGTAATGATAAAAATAGTAAGTTTTATTTGTCTGGCAAAGTGCAACTAAAAGTGCTTTATATCAATACAATCCTAAGGTAAAGCACAAGAAACAAAAAAGGCAACACCAGAAAAGGTGTCATATTTTTAATCACTGTAGACTATTTTTGAGTGCAATATAAAGTCCAGAACTTCCATGGAAACAGCACAACCATGGCTAGAAGGAGAGAAAACTCAAAAATGTCTGCAGTATCATAAAGTTATAATGCATAAATCATAAAAAAACAAAAGGCAAAGTTAAATTATCTTGATTCTATATTTGAAAAAAAAAAGAAAAGACAAAAGCTCCAGAGTAATGTTATCTTAAACCAACACTAAAATCTTAATTTTAACCCTCTAACCCCCCCAAAATGTCTTCTGTGCACGATGATGACATTCATCACAAAAAAGAAAAAAAATGTAAGTGTTATTTCTTTGAATATTTATTTTAAAAAGATTGGCAAAACCTGGAATTAACATCTACAAGACTTTTTTAAGTGCCCACAGGTGTTACCAATACCAGAGAAAAACATNTGGAGGAGCACTGAGGAATCAAAGCAACACTCAAAACAAGTTTCATTGCTGTCTGAGCCTGAACAATGGACATAAATTGGCAGAATGTCTCTTTATTGTCAGAAATACAAAGCGAGACAGATCCTGACCACATTGTGGCCACAGAAATAGGACGAGACAGGAAGTCATGAAAACTAACAGAGGAAACAGTCTGTGGTCACTGCATGACAGGTGAAGTGGAGACAGAGATGCACTTCCTCTTAAAATGAGACTAATTTAAAGAAATGAAAGAGGAACCCTTTAAATGAGTGACATTCAATGAGATTTTGCCCATTCCTGCACAGTCTGTCCAGCTGAGTCTTCTAAATAACATTGTAAAGATTATAACTCATAGCTTTGATTTGCTTCACCCATTTGTCCCACAACGTTGTTTATTTGACTTGCAACACTTGCTTTCATTGTTATTTACATGTTTCCTTCTGTTAGTGTTTGCTGTTGCACTGATAATCGAAAAATAATGTAAGAAAAATAATCACTATGTACAGAACACTTTTTCATGATACTGATGTTTAAATGTGAGCAGAAGCACTTCAGGTGGATCACTTGTTAATGGTCACGCATCCTCAAAGACAACTCTTACAAATGGTTGGTAACATGAATGATTGTCGTGTAAACACTTAAATTTTTAAGCTACATGAAAATGAATCCTGTTAAAATCATACCATGATGGAACAAAATGACTGACTTCCATTAATAGACACAATTTTAAGTGTAGTGATCTTGAAATTAGTGTATTTGCAGAATATACGTAGTGACTAGAGTCGTCTATAGTTTGTTTATGGGTTTTTGCTGAAACATACTTGCTACTCAAAGTACACCGGACCATCCAGAGGATGGAATATGGAGTAAAAACAATCAACAAAATTTTGTTCTCAGCTCCAATACTTATCTTGTTGCTTGTTGGAATGTGTGAAAGCAGCAAGACCTGCCATTTAATATGCAGTCATAAGAACACAAGATTGACCTATAAGCCGCTACGAGCACCTCCCTCACTGCACTCATTTATTTCCAGGATAAAATCAAAAAGTTTACCTTCATGCAGGTTTAAATGAGCTTTCACATTTAAACATTGACTGTGTTGATTAAACTAGTTGTGATTAATCATGATGTCCAAGATACAAATATTAACACTCTAGCCACACGTATCCATCCTTTGGGGATTATGACATGATGAATGTCATGTCATGTTTTTTCCTGAAGGTTTAGTTACTTTCAATATGCAAACTGATGGTGATGTTTCATTTCATTCCCAGATGAAGGAGCTTCCTGTAAGGTCCTGGTCCACCCCACAGGCCCCTGATGGAAGACAAATACAGAGAAATGTAGCAGCTGCTGTGGAGCGACTCCACCATCAACTAGTAATAATAACTGGTGATTAACTATGTACATACCGGAGGAGCCCATGCCAGTAGAGGTGAGGCATCACATCAGCCTTCATGTGGTACATTGATCTTCTTTCTTTGGCTTGGTTGATGGGGAACGTTTCTAGTGGTTGTCCATTGTAGTCAAACTCTGCCAGAATGACTGTGTTGTAGCTTGTGACCAACGGACACGACGTGTACCCGTCGTACTATAAACGAGAAAATTACTCAGTATGCATTTGCACGTTTTTCATCAAGGGTACAACAGAAGAGTTACAGCAGTCTTCATAACCAAAGATATAAATTATAACTGATGTAAATGTGACATTTACCTTCTTATCAGGCTTCTCATTTTTCAGTATTTTGCTGATAGTTCTGTTCAAGATTGCAGACTGTGCAGCTAAAAAGAGAAAACAAAGTTTAAGTTCTTTCACTGTATTTGTAATCTCTTATTGACTATTGACCCAATGCAGACACTGTCCAGCTACACTTATATTGCCAAAAGTATTTGCTCACCTGCCTTGACTCGAATATGACCTTAAGTGACATCCCATTCTTAATCCATAGGATTTAATATGACGTTGGTCCAACCTTTGCATCTATACCTGCTTCCACTCTTCTGGGAAGGTCGTCCACAAGGTTTAGGAGTGTGATTATGGGAGTTTTTGACCATTCTTCCACAAGCGCATTTGTGAGATCAGACACTGATGTTGGACGAGAAGACCTGGCTCTCAGTCTTTGCTCTAATTCATCCCAAAGGTGATCTATCAGGTTGAGGTCAGGAGTCTGTGCAGACCAGTCAAGTTCATCCACATCAAACTCTCTCATCCATGTCTTTATGGACCGTGCTTTGTGCACTGGTGCACAGTCTCTGCAGAAAGTTGTGTCAGTGCAGAAAGTTGGCGACCTTGGGCAGTAGTGTACAGAGGTCACCAACTTTCTGCAGTCAGTCGCTACAGACCTCCAAACTTCATGTGACCTTCAGATTAGCTCAAGAACAGTATGTAGAGAGCTTCATGGAATGGGTTCCCATGGCAGAGTAGCTGCATCCAAGCCATACATCACCAAGTGGAATGCAAAGCATCGGATGCAGTGGTGTAAAGCACGCCACCACTGGACTCTACAGCGGTGGAGATGCGTTCTCTGGAGTGACGCTTTTCCATCTGGCAATCTGATGGATGAGTCTGGGTTTGGCAGTTGCCAGGAGAACGGTACCTGTCTGACTGCATAGTGCCTAGTGTAAAGTTCAGTGGAGTGGGGATTATGGTGTGGGGTTGTTTTTCAGAAGCTGGGCTTGGCCCCTTAGTTCCAGTGAAAGGAACTCTGAATGCTTCAGCATTCCAAGAGACAATTCCATGCTCCCAACCTTGTGGGAACAGTTTGGAGAACGCCCTTTCCTCTTCCAGCATGACTGTGCACCAGTGCACAAAGCAAGATCCATAAAGACATGGATGAGAGCATTTGGTGTGGATGAGCTTGACCGGCCTGCACAGACTCCTGACCTCAACCTGATACATCACCTTTGGGATGAATTAGAGCAGAGACTGAGAGCCAGGCCTTCTCATCCAGCATCAGTGTGTGACCTCACAAATGTGCTTGTGGAAGAATGGTCAAAAATTCCCATAATCACACTCCTAAACCTTGTCAACGACCTTGCCAGAAGAGTTGAAGCTGTTATAGATGCAAAGGTTGAACCAATGTCATATTAAACCCTATGGATTAAGAATGGGGTGTCACTTAAGTTCATATCCGAGTCAAGGCAGGTCAGCGAATACTTTTGGCAATATAGTGTATTTGACAAACGCTAAGGTTGGAGTAAACTGACATCTTTACCCTTTTTTTTACACATACACACACACCTACACACACCTACACACACACACACACCTACACACACCTACACACACACACACACACACACACACACAACCTGAAGAGTTTGACAACAGCATCTACTGACAATTTTAAGTAGCCAAGTCAACAAAGAAGTATTGTTAAGCTGACCCTGTCTGTTTCCTTAATATGCACAGTGGAGCCACAGAGCTCAAGCGTAGAGTTGATGTGCGCTTCACTATCCTACTTCATTTTTAAATGTTTACAAGTTCAAACTATGGTACATATCTTTTATTTAAAAATACATTTAAAAAAAAAAATAAAAAATTCAATGTCCCCTCAGACAAGAGCTCAGCCATGTATATGATAGTTAATCCCAGAAAAGTTACAAATAAGTGGTTACAGTAAACTGCTTTGATGAGTGGATTTGTGAACAGGATGTAGAAATTGCAAAAAAAAAAAAAAATTACAGAGATAAAAATAAAAGCAAAACAAATGTATCTACGGCCGTTCAATCTCCACAGTTTCAAAGAAACTTGACAACAAGCACAAGCAAACTGTTAACACATTCAATCCAAACAGAAGTTGGAGCTGCCTGTGATATTTACTGCCCCAAATTAAGCACACTAAAATGAAACTTTGGAGCTCTTAGTTTTTGCAAGCCAACTGCAAAATCTGAATTTTTATAGTTATTTGTCAGTTGTATCAGTGGCTCTAACAGGCATGTCTTCGAACTGGAGACTTAGAGACACACATATATTCCCCAGCTGGTCTGTGGATCTGGATGAATATCTTTACTGTGAGGCAACAGTTCTAACCTCTTCCTAATAAAACTGTTTATTCTCTATGTAGCAGCTACTATAGGATGTCTCCAACACAGCACGAGTGGATCTGGACTGTAGACTGTAATTCTTTAATATCTGAACTATTAAAGTTTCAAATCACAGGAAGTGCAATGATTAACTGTATGTAGCAACTGCATAATTTCCAAGTGTAATAAAACAACAGTCACTTACCAACAGCTGCAGCAGTTTTTGGTGTGGGCAGGTTAGTACAGTCACCAATCCCAAACACATTGGGATACTTGTTATGTTGTAGGGTCTCTTTGTTGACATCCAACCATCCAGTCTCATCAGCCAGTGGACTTCCTTTAACCACCAAATGGGGTCCCATTGGTGGTGCAACGTGAAGCATTTCATACTAATTTAAAAAAAAACAGCAGAGTTTAGTTACTTACTGGAGTCTCTTGTCCTAAATTGTCTCATATTTATGTACAAAAAGAAAAAATGGACAATGTGTGGGATTGTTTATATCACTACAGCATAATTTCTCTGGCTGTGCACAGAACAAAGCAGTCAATAGCACATTATGAGAGAAAAATACTGTTACTGAAAGTTACCTCAAACACTTTGGTTTCTCCCGGTTTATCAAGATTTTCAAACACAGCTTCTTGCTTGTCTGCCCGCACTTCAATCAGGTTGTGCCTGAGGTTCACTTGTAGGTCACGGCGTTTCACAACTTCCCACAATGAGTCAGCGTATTTCTTGATCCCAAACAACACAGGCAGGGAAGTGTTGTATATTACATTGGCCTTTGCCCTTTTTCCTGTCTTAAATAGAAGAATGAAAAGATCCTCAGCAAATCTGTTCAACCACATTTGACTTTACAAACTACACAACATCATCATTCGATTCCATTGTTCAAGTACCTTTCTGAGAAAGGCATCTGATAGGTACATGATCTTTTGTGGAGCTCCGGGACATTTCACAGGAGTGTTTGGAAAAGAGAACACAGCATTGCCCTCTTTGAAGTTCTGCAAGGCTTTCCATGTTTTCTCCACAGTTTGGATCGAGTAGTTTGACCCAATCTTTGGATGTTCAAGCCCTTCTGGCAGTCCTTTGATCTGCATATAGGAGGAGTGTACATTTATTAGAATGTAGCTGACTTTACATTCAATGGTGACCTTTAACTAAGCAGCAGCAGAATGAATGAATACAGCATGACTTCACCTTGTCATAATGGAGTTGTAAACCAAGAGCCACAACCAGATATTCATAGGAGATCTGTAGAGTAAAAACAAAGTTTACATAAGAACAGACACACATCAGTCATCATACTATTTAAAAATACACAGCTTCATGTACAAACTGTCACTCAATGACAAACCAGGAGATGACAAATGATGTAATAATGGTATAACGTCAGTACACATATTTCAAATAACAGTTTTCTAAATTGAACATACTTCAGTCCCATCGTCTGTGCGTACAGTATTCGTGTCTGGGTTTATTTCCTGAACTTTGGATTTCACCCACTTCACTCCAGGCGGCATAACACTTGCAGTGGGACGACCTGACGAGGCGACAGATTTTGCACCAGCACCAACCAGGGTCCATATTGGCTGATAGTAGTGCATCTGAAAAAGATGAAAAAGAAGTTGTCAGACATTAACTTTGCACAACAGTTTGTGATTCACCAAAACATAAAAACCTGAACATGAACTCTCAGTTGAATGAATAAGCACCATAACTTTTTATAATTTCTAGTGCACATTGTGTTATGGTGACAGACGAAAAGCAGTATGGAAAATATATATTTCTTGCCTCACTGGGCTCCACAACAGCCACATTCTCAGCTCCCATCATCCTCTTCATCCGTGCACTCATGGTGATGCCCCCACTCCCTCCTCCAAGCACAAGCATTTTGTAATGCTGTTTGGCAGAGGCACGGCTGCTAGTGTGAAGATGAGAGATAACGATGCCTGTGGAGGGGCATTTCCTCAGTCGACGCAGGGCAGCCATTCTGTGTCTGAACCAGAAGGACAAGTCATTTTTGGTTAGCAGCAAATCAATCATAATCAGTTCTACTGTCTGGGGCTCAAACATACTATCAACACCTGTCAACAATCTGCACTTTCTAATTTTGCTTCTCTGCATCTGCATTGTGTTCATTAGAGTTAGAAAATAAGTGGCATCTCAAAAGGCACACTTACCTTGACCAGCACTACTGTTAAGCGTCCGTTTTACTGTTCATTAATCCAATATGCTTGGAGGGAGGAGAGAAACTCTGGCCAAACTGTTTCTCCTCTGTACTAAAGCAGGACTGGCACTTTACACTCACTTGTCAAACCTTTTACCCAACGTGAACTTGTGGTTGCTCCCTTCAGACAGAGCTGCTGTCCAATCAGAATCAAAGTGTGAACGGTTCATCCCACCCCTCAGCCACTGGACAAATCAGAGACGACCTTGTTTAACTGCCAGTCTAATATTGTAGCTTTAGCATAACTTCAAATAGCCAAACTAAACTCTGTGAAGCTACAGAACTAATGACAGCTGTCTCTGGAAGGACGTCGAAGATGTACGTTGTGTTTTTTTCATTGTGTTTTTGTGTGTTTCTGTCACCTGTTGTGGTCCTCATAAATAATTGTGAAGGTACATTAAAGTGGGCGTGTTTATCCGTGTGTTTACAGGAGAAACCTGAACTTGTAGCTCTGAGCCTGTCTTGGACCAGCAGTAGACTGTGGTGGAAGGACTTTGAAACTTTAGATATTTATTACTTTTATTATAGTTGCCCCTCATGAGTGTGTGTGTGTGTGTCTGTGGACAGTCTCTAGCTCGAGTGCTAAAGTCTAACAAGTTGATATTTTACAGGTGAGCTAGGAATGGCCTCTCCTGATGATTCGACTTTCGGGTCAGTCAGTGTGACTGTAGCTCCACTAGAGGTCAAAGGTCATTTATTTCAAAAATGCCATTTACCAACAAAAGGGTGGAAGGTAGATTTATGGTATTTGGTGCAGATGAGCAACCATGTTGGGGCTTTCCATTGGTGATGTTACATTTAACCTTGGATGATATTTCAAAGTCAAACTCAAGGTCATAAATTTTGACTGCACTGTAGGACAGACACATTGTTTGCATTAAAAACTGTGTACAGGATGCAAAACATGACCTTGGGTGATATTTCAAGGTCAAACCCAAGCTAAAACATTTTTGATATTGCCGTTGTATTTTAAATGACATGTAATGTACAGATAGTACCCATTTCACCTTGGACAACCAGCCAACCACGAATAGTAAAAGAATCTATCCAATCAACCAAACACCAAGCACTGCTAGAGTAGATGTGTGTCACTGAAATAGTGCAACAGGTAACATCCTGTAAATACTGATCCTCATGTCTGCTTATCCACCTTGGAGTTATTAGTTTAAGCATGGACTTCACCTTCTTTGCTCCTGATGGCAGCTGCAATATGAATAGATCACAAGCACCAACCAATGCTGACAGAAATACTGACAACAAAGAATTAGATCAACAGAAACGCAGTTTTTATTTCTGCAGTACATTTGGGTTTTTGCAAATACGCCAGGTGGGGGAGCTATAATGATAAATATGATGAAGCATGGTGTAAAATAGGGAAGCTGCAAGTAAAATAAACAAAAGATGATATATTAACAAACTGTTTCTCCTCAAGAAGAAGCATTACAATAAAGTGGATGATAAC